TTTCTTTCTTTCTTTCTTCTTTCCTTCCTCCTCCCCCTCCTTCCATGTAGGTGCCATCCACCTGGAATTCCACTCCAGTGGCAACCACTACGTCTGGAGGAAAGTGACTTCCACCGTCCACAATATCATCGTGGGCAAGCTCTGGATTGATCAGGTCAGTGATAACAAGTGGAGGAATTTCCAATGGACAGGAGGCAATTTGATTTTGTTTCATTTGATTTTATCCATCCAAAACATTTTTTGTCTTGCCTTTCTCCTTAAAAAAGACGCAAGGTGGTTTACATCATTAAAAGAAAGTATTTAAAGCTAAAAACAGTAAGGATACAAATACTGAAAAGGATTAAGCAAATACCTAACTTTTAAAAAAAAACAGTAAACAAAAGCAACACAAAAAACATATTTCCACCTAACTTTTAAAAAAATTAAAACTCCACTCAGGCAGCCAGTCTCTGTGGGAGAGCCTCCCTGAAGAGAGAGGTCTTTGTCTGCTTGCGGAAGGACAGCCAGGATGGGGCCAGCTTGGTTTCCAGTGGCAGGGAGTTCCAGAGTCTAAAGGAGCAACCACAGAGAAGGCCCTTCTCCCGTGTCCCCTCCCAAAGGCACTTGTGAGGGTGGTGGGACCGAGGGAAAGGCCTCCCCTGATGATCTTAACAAACTGAATTTTGCAGAGGAAAGAATAGAGCAGAGCCCATACTCGGCTGGGTGGATGGGTTTCCATCACGATCAGCTTTTTGTGGGACCCTCCACAAGTTCAGCAACTAAGAGTAAACTGTAGATTCCACAACCTGTATTGAAACGTCTCCTTAAAACTAGAATTCCTTTAGCGGAGGAGAAATATTTTACTTCAGTTGGGTGGGTGGGTGGATTCAAGCAAAACGATTTGGCTAAAGTAGCTCCTGAATCAAATGATCGCTAACGCAGAGGCAACAGGAATTATATGTAAATGAAAAAGAGAAAGAGATCCTGGCCTCAGGTTTACAAACAAGTAATAACGTCCCCTTACCAACGTGGCTGGATAGCTCAGTGGTTAAAGTATCTGGCTGTGGAGCCAGAGGTTGGGAGTTCGATTCCCCGATTCTGCCTCCAGGGAGAAAAACCAGCCTGGGTGGCCTTGGGCCAGCTGCACAATAGTCCCACAGTGCCCCTAGAGGGAGGAAATGGTAAAGCACTCTTGAGTCTTCTCTACCTGAAAAGGGTCACCAGAATTGACTTGACAACACAAAATTATTAAGCCAACGGTCATGGGTTTGAAACCTCCACAAATTTATTTATTTATTTATTTATCTATTTATCTATTTATCTGTTTATCTATTTTATATCCCACCTATCTGGTCAGTTAAGACCACTCTTGGTGTCCATGTGAATAAATGTAAAATTAATCTCCTTGCAAACGCTCTCTCTTTCTTCTTTTGCCCAGTCCGGTGACATAGAAATCATCAATCACAAATCGAAAGACAAATGCCAATTGAAATTCACTCCTTACAGCTATTTTTCCAGAGACATCCCCCGAAAGGTAGGTCTTTTTTCCTATGAAGATGTAAAACACACTTTGTCATTTATAGCAACCAGAGGCCGTAGCAGTTTGCACTGTTCTGGAGCGTACGTAAGCATTAGTTAAAAGGTTTGCTTTAAGCAGAAATGACAGGTGTGAAAGATGGTTTGGACAGAGAAAATCCCCAAATTACTATGGATGGAAAATAATTTTTAAAGATATATCCACATGTATTCTAATAATAAATAGAATATCCTGCTTTGATTGGTATTTATTTATTTAATATATTTATCTATCGCTTATTTGCTGGCCAGGATTTCTAAAGTAGTTAGGTCAATAGAAAACAATTGGAAAACGTCATTTGAAAAGTCACTCTGACGGATGTTTAAAAAGCCAAATTTACAACGTCTTTTTTAAGGATCAAAACTCTTTAAGAAGAGTAACGTTTTGGTGGCCCATCAGACACTCAACAAGGTCGGGGTCACCTGTCCTTCCCTCTGGAGGTGCTACAGCAGAGAAGGCCATGCCTCATGTCCTCACCAGCATTGCCTTTATGGGTTTTTACCCCATAAAGATGAAGTTTCTTTCCCGTGAGACCTCCGCTACAGCTGCAATTTCCAAGGCGCCTCCACCTAGCAGTAGTTGATCTACCGCTATAGTTCTTTCAAGAAATACAGTCGTGCCCCGCTTAACTATTACCCCGTATAACGACGAATCTGCTTCACGATGATGTTTTTGCCTTCGCAATTGCTGGAACGAATTAACATCGTTAAGCGAGGCACCACTGTAACTCTTTGCCTTCCTGTGCTTCAGAATAAACTGCAATTGCTATGTTATGTGTTAGGTTTCCTTTTTTCCTTCTTTCTTTTTAAAAGAATCCCGAGGCTAGCTCTTGCTGGCCTACCAGTGAAAAGGATTTCTTCTCCCCCCTTTCTCCTGTGCTGTTGTCAACATGCTTGCCAGCGGAGCACAGTCACAACGTGTCCTAAAACCCGTCCCAAACAGGCCCAATAGAAGGTGGTTCATATCGGGGGTGGCCTTTTGCGAGTGTCGTATCACAGGATCGCAGACTAAGGGGGACCTGGGAGAGGGACCCCTTAAGGTCATCAAACCTAGCCATCCCCCAACCGGTGTAGGAAACCCGCCCAACACCTCCCAGGAAAGGAACGTTCTCCCTTCCCCTGTTGAGCGGCTGTCGTTATCTGGATCTCCTTCTCGAGATTCCACGTGATATCTTCACGGCGGAGAAGGTGACGAAGCCCCACTGGCCCCTCCACCCTCGGGGCCTCTTTTCTCCCCTAGGTGTCGGGCGTGGTGACAGACACCAATGGCAAGGCCCACTACGTCATGTCCGGCACGTGGGACGAGAAGATGGAGTGCGCCAAGATCGTCAACAGCAGCCACGGAAGCACCAGCAGCTCGGAAGGCAAGCTGTCGAAAACGGTCTACCAGACTCTGTCTCCCAAGGTCCTCTGGAAGAGATACCCCCTTCCGTGAGTCTCCCCAGCAGAGAGGGCAGGCGGGGGGCGGATGGGGTGGGTGTACGTGTGCACGTACTGAATCAGGGGTGCCCACAGTGCAAAGGCCGAGAGGTGCTGCACACTGAGGGTGGTGGTCCAAGATGAGAAATGTTCTCCGTTTTTAAAAGGACTTTACTTCCAAGGATACCCCATTGACCTTGCTGGCTGGGGCATTGTGGTAGCTGTTAAGGGGGGGGAGAAACAAGAGAGAGGAACTTTTGCACTCTTGGTGGCAGAAATAGTTGCATCTATGAAAGTGCATGTTCTCGAGTGAACACCAGAGATGTTTTGGTGATGGAAGCAAGGAAAAACCACACGGCAACCCTCTCTGCCCTCCCCTTTCTCCATTCTGACGTGGGAAATTCTCTAGCCTGTCCGTGGCGGTCTGTCGCAATGGGGCATTTCCCTCGTTCTGAGGTTTCTAACCTTTGTGCCAGCGGAGTTACATTTGAGGGGGCTGAGAAAGCTACGCCTTTGGAGCTCAACCCCCAGAACCCCCCGCCGGCTGGCCAGTTCGGAGAGCTTGTGCCATAAAACAAACGCAGCGCTTCCCATCTCCAGAGATGTATAATCACACTCCTGGCGGCCAAACCTTGGCGCTTTTTCACACGCTCAGGCGCGCACACGGTTGTTCTTAACCCGGGTATCGCTCTTCCTTTTCCAGGGAGAATGCCGAAAACATGTATTACTTCTCCAGCCTTGCTTTGGCCTTGAACGAGCCCGAGGAAGGCACGGCCCCCACGGACAGCCGCCTGAGGCCTGACCAGCGGCTGATGGAGAACGGGAAGTGGGACGAAGCCAACGTGGAGAAGCAGAGGCTGGAGGAGAAGCAGAGAGCCGTGCGCCGCCGGCGGGAAGCCGAGGCCGCCGAAGCGCTGGAGGAAGGTACGGATCCAAAATACCATCGGAGCTGTCCCAAAATGGGCAGGGAAGCTGGAGCGGGGGGGGGCAAGGCTCTGCCCTTGTGCAGCAACCAGAAAATGACAGGACTGTCTTTGAATCAATGTAGATGGTTGGACATGAAAAAATAAAATAAAACATCCCCAGAAAATAAGCCCTAATGCGTTTTGGGGAGCTAAAATTACCGTGTTTCTCCAAAAATGCATTAGGGCTTGTTTTCCGGGGAATTTTTTTTTCAATGTACAACAATCTACATTGATTCAAATACAGTCACGTCATTTTCTGGGTGCTGCACAAGGGTGGAGGGTAGAGTTTCACTTAACTGGGGCTTATTTTGGGGGTAGGGCTTATTTTAAGAGCATCCTGAAAAAACATACTAGGGCTTATTTTCAGGTTAGGTCATATTTTGGGGGAAACATGGTAACAACACTTGGGTAGCTGGGTGCAGACTTCAAAGTTCTGCAGAAGTGTGTTTAGCTGGTTAGATGTTAAAGAAAGAAAGAAAAAAGAATGAAGGTGTGGTTAGGGAGAAGTGTTGAATTTTTAAAAACGGAGTAAGGCTTTAGCTGTGAGGTCTGCAGGTAAACTCAGTCCTAAGAAGGTGCCTTGCAAATTTGAGGGTAGATGTGTCAATGTCAGATTATGCATGGCCTTCTGCACATCTGCCGGGGACTCATGCAACCTGTCTTCGCCATCTCAGGACCGAGTTTAACTCCTGCCTAAAACATCGAGCTAAATTTTCCAGCCTCCGTGCTTCTTTCAAGGCGGTGGCAATGAGATCTTTCTATGTCGGAAGAAAGTTCTATTCCAGGTAGAAGCCCCCCAAGGAGAGTTAGGGGGCTGTGGGCACCACAAAAGTGGGTAGGTAAGGATTCCCGTAACGAGTCACTTCAGGATCCTGAAAATAACAAGGAGAACAGCAAGCCAGTGAGCGATGTAACAAGTTGTTTTTGCAATTGAAACTTCTAATAAATCTCAAGGAACGCTGGCGTAGATGCTCTACATCAGTTGTGCACAAATATCCATGAGCTCCTAGCCAGTTTGGCCTTCACCACACACTTGAGGAAACGCACCTGTATCATTTTCAGACCTGCAGGGTTCTGTGGCAGGCAGAGGAAGGGTTTATACAACACGTTCCCCTATAAGTGAAGAGATTGCAAGCCACTGGTTTGGATAACCTTCATTAAAAACCTCTTAGTTCAGTGGTTTTCTAACCCTTGAGTAACTCTGGTGTTCTTGGACTGCAACTGCCAGAAACCTTCACCGCTAGTTGTGCTGGCCAGGATTTCTGGGAATTGCAGTCCAAGAACACCGGGGTGACCCCCAAGGATGGGCAACCAGCGGGTTAGAGGCCCAGAGCAAGGAAGTGATTCAAACTTTAGAACATCACTTTGCAAATGTAATTTGTTGCCTTATTTGTTGGCTTATACTCATAGTGGTGATTCCCCAAATGCCTTTTTTTTTAAAAGCTAAGATAGTTTTAAATGCCTACTTGTTTTTAATTATTCAATTACATTTTAATTAGCATATATTTTAATTTTTTTAAAAAAACCTTTAACTTATTATGTCTCTAATCCTATTCCTTTAAGATTGCATGCCGCCTTATCAGGAGAAAGGCAGCCTGCAAATAAAACGAACAAATAAAAATAAATCGATATATTGTGTGCCATCAGATCAATTCTGATTTATGGCAGAACTCCAAAAGGTTTTCCAGGCAGGGAATACTCAGAGGTGCTTTACCCCTTGCCTCCCACTAGGGGGCGCCCTGGGACTGTGCAGCTGGCCCAAGGCTCCCCAGGCTGGCTCTTCTCCCGAAAGGCCCGGTGGGGGGAATCGAACTCCCAACCTCTGACTCTGCAGCTAGAGACCTTAAACCGCTGAGCTACCCAGTCAGAACCGTTGGTGGCAGCCCCACATTCTCCAGTTGCGTCTGTTGGCACTGACTGGTTCCTGGGCCTTCTGTGTTGCAGGCAAGGACTACGAAGGCTACATCCCGCTGTGGTTTGAGAGGAAGGTCGACCCGACGACAGGGGAGCTGATTTGCACCTACAAGGGCGGCTACTGGGAAGCCAAGGAGAATCAGGACTGGAGCATTTGCCCCAACATCTTCTGAGCGGCTCCTCGCTGGGCCAGGCGAGGCCGACCCAACCCTGCCCCCCCCCGGGACCTTGGAGCCGGCAGCGGAAGCCCTCCCTCCGGACGGCGCTCGGCTCTTGACACACACTTCGGAAGAAACACACGCTAAAGTTCGAAAGAAACACGTCAATATATATATTTTTTTTCTAAAGAAAGAGAAACAACAAGACGAAACCAAACAGGGATTCCAGACCTATTTTTATGCACTAATAAAATGGCATTTGATTTTTTTTTAAGTGACTTTTTTAAAGCTACGAATTAGGATTTGAGAGATTATGGATATTGTTGGGTTTTTGTTTTGTGTTTTCCTTTGAAAGCCTGGCCTATTTATTGCTGCATCAACGGCTGCAGCCTTCTTTCTCTTTTAAGATCTTGGTGT